TTCCTTGCCCGACATCCTCCCTTATGTGGCCAACCGGGTGCAACCGCAACTGAAACACAAAAACGTGCCGCCTGCGCCCCTCGGCGGGCCAGCCTCCCGCGCCTGATTGAGTCCTTCACCCCACGCGTGTTTCCCAGCATCGCACACGGGGCCGCCGAGCTCGGGAGCGTGTCTTCCCCCCGCAGCCCTCCCTGGTAGCACACAGGCCTTGGAAGGACCTGTGACCCTCCACGGTCATCGGTGGGTGTGACCGTTCTCTCGGGGCCGCTCTTGATATACACCGGACAAGCGGGAAGCTGAGGCCAAGAAGCCTCTGTCATTTAAAGCGGCTTAAAATCACACCAATATGGCCAGAACCGGTTTGGCTCAGTGAATAGAGCATCAGTCTGCGGACTTAAGGGTCCCAGGTTTGATTCTGGTCAAGGGCATGAACATTGGTTTCAGGCACATCCCCAGTGGGGGTTGTGCAGGAGTCAACTGGTCAGTGATTCTCTCTCATCGATGTTTCTAACTCTCTATCCCTCTCCCTTCCTCTCTGTAAAAAATCAATAAAATATATAAAAGATAATAAAATAAAATAAAATAAAATCGCACCAACATTGACGGGCAGGCCCCACATGGAGCCCTGTGCGGTGGGGCTGCGGCTCCGGGGCCGGCCTTGTGGGAGGACAGAGGCGGTGACCTCGGAGGAAGCCGAGTGGAGACCGAGGGCGGAAGAGGGCTGGATCCATATGGACGGGAAAGCGAGGGACGAGGAGAGGAAACGCACGCACACGGTCTCAGTGCGTGCCGCAGACCTTTCCACGTCCCCACGGCTCTCCAGGCCACAGGGACCTGGCTCCGCCTCCAGCCAGCGCTCACGCCCCAGAAGGTGTGTGCTGTCCCGAGGCCTGGCCCGGGCCGAGAGCACATCCCAACTTTGGTGCATGGCGGCTGGAGGGGGGACCATCAGTCATCACATGTTTGACCCGGTCAGGGCACGTGCAAGGGGCAGCCATCTCCCGGCCGGCGTGGCTCAGGGGCTGAGCATCGACCTGGGAACCAGGAAGTCAGGGTTCCATTCCCAGGCAGGGCACAGGCTGGGTTCTGGGCTCAATCGCCAGTAGGGGGCGCGCAGGAGGAGCTGATTCATGATTCTCTCTCATTATGGATGTTTCTCGCTCGCTCTCTCCCTCTCCCTTCCTCTCTGAAATCAATATAAATATATGTATTTTTTAGAATAGAAGCAGGCACCTGAGCTGCTCAGATGGGGGCGAGTCCTCTGTCTTCCGTCCTTCTGTCCCCGGGAGGCAGTGGCTGCTCTCCGGGGCTCAGGGAGGAAGCGGTTAAACCGGGCAGAGGCATTCCTCACGGACACAAAGCAGCACACACAGGAAACCGCCACGGAGCGCTGGCTCATTATTTTCCCAATTATTCTTTGAAATCAGCTTGTGCAGCAGGCGACGGCAAAGACGGGGCCGGAGGCAGGGGCTCACGCGGGCAGAGCTGCCTGTTGCACGGTTTGTGGTGACAGCAGCACGATTGAGGGTCAGGGCCCAGGCGGCCGCCGCGCAGAATGCAGGAGGGGCTGCGGGCATGGCCGCCCTCCTCCTCGGCCTCAACACAACACCGGCTGCTGGTGAGGATGCCAAACACATTCTCACCACAGTCTCAAACCCACACACTGAGCCTGCACTTATGGGACCTGCCAGACCCGTAACACTCAGGGGAAGAGCAGATCGGCGGCTGCCAGGGGCTGGGCTGAGGGGGTGGGGGGGGGGGCTGGGTATAAAGGGCTCAGCGCACTTTCTGGGCAGTAGGACATCTACATCGTCACTCAGTTCTGATTACAGGACTGCACACATTTTTCAGACAAAAAGAACTGTGCCCTTAGAAATGTATGAACATGAATGTATGTGAATGATACCTACACAGGCTGACTTTCTGTTTGTTAATCCTCACCAGAGGGTGTTTTTCCGTTGCTTTTCATAGAGGGTGGAAGGGAGGGAGGAGGGGGAGAGTTGGGGAAAAAGAGAGAGGGAGAAACATCAATGTGAGAGAGAGACATCAACTGGCTGTCTCCCGCCGGGCCCCTGGATCCCAGCATCTGACGAGAGAGGACCATCTGAGGCGTGTGGGAACCCGGCATTACTCTTCTGAAATGCTGGAGCTTGTCAGTGCGCGTTCTGGGAGCGCCTCAAAGTCCTTGCTGGATGAAGGAGCAATGTAAATGAAACACAGAGAGAGGAAACGGAACAGCTTCTCCATTTGGGATGTGATTGAAGGAGGAGATACAATGGTCCAAGCCGGTGTGGCCCAGTGGATAGAGCGTTGGCCTGCAGATCAAAGGGTCTCAGGTTCAATTCCAGTCCAGGGCACGAAACGAGCAGCTTGCCTCGGCCCCGGCTTCATCTGGAAGGTCATTTGGAAGGACGCCTGGTCTAATTAGCATATTATGCTTTATTATTATAGACTGTGGTTGGCAGAAGACCCAGATGGCCCCCAAGATTCTCACCCCTTGGTGCCCTTGTCCTAGATGTTCTAGCTCCTTGGAGTGCGAGCAGAACTGGTCAACATGATGGACTGTCAATTCCACAATTAAACTATGTTATCTGGCTCGGGAGTTTGTAGATGTCATTAAGGTTGCTAATCAGCTGATGTTGAGTCATTCAAAAGGGAGGCTGTCCCAGGTGGGCCTGCCCTAATCAGGTGTGTTTTTAAGAAGGAGTCAGACTGATTCAAGCAGCAGAGACTAAGCAGCCCGGCCTGCCTGGCTCCATGGTTGAGCATCAACCTGTGAACCAGGAAGTCACAGTTTGATTCCCGATCAGGGTGCATGCCAGGGTTGCAGGCTTCATAGGGGGGTTGCTGGAGGCAGCCGAGCAATGATTCTCTCTCATCATCTCTCTCTCCCCCTCTTTCTAAAATCAATAAAAATCTATTTAAAAAGAAAAAGCAAACAGATACAATATAAACTGCCTGGGGCTGCACTCACGTGGCAAGGCCCTGTGGAGCTGAGTGCTGGCTGACAGGCATCAGGACGTGGGGATCGTGTCCTGTGACCACAGGGCCTGCAGAGAGCCTGGGCAGCAAGAGGGGGGAGGGGGGGACCCACGTGAGACCTAGGACGGGAGGGGGCGCGTGGGGAAAGGGCCAGGAGGAAAGGCCCCTGGAGTGCAAGGAGAGAGGAAGCCCGGGGCCCCGGCCTCTCCCACTGGGCTCGGGCACAGTGACCGCCCGGCCGAAGCCCCCTGGGCAGCGCCAGGCAGGCAGCACGGCCTCCGAGGAGGACAAGACTAACGTGGGTCCTCCTGCCGCTGTCCTGGGGCCCCGGGCGCCCGCCTCCCCTCTGGGCCTCCCGGACGGTTCTCTTTGGAGACCGGGCTCATGTGCCCGGCACGGCTGCAGTGATGAATGGGGCCATTCAGGGATCCTCCGGCCCCGTCCCTCCGTGCCAGCCCCGCCTCCTGCTGGCCTGCACTCGCACCCGGCCCTGGCACGGCCCTCTCCGCCCTGCCTCCCGCCCGTGGCCTTCACCCAGGCCGCGTTACCACGGGCGCACACGTCCTTCTGCCCAGGACTGAGCTCCCCGCAGCGAGACCCGCACGGTAGTGGCCGGGCCCCACCTGCTGGCTAGTGACGTGGCAAGAACCACGTCTCTGGCTTCTTTGCACCACGTTCTGACTGCACACCTTCGGCCCTGGCTCCCCGGGCCACGGACCACGTCCCCCGGCCTGAACGGACACCAGCACGGCCGTGGCTCCCCCGCGCCGTGAGCGTGGAAAGTCCCCGTCCCGGCTCGGCCCAGGAGCCGGCCCCGCGCCCGGCCGGGCGGGTTCTCCGGTTGCCCTCAGGAAGGAAGCCAGCGCGGGGAACAAAAGGCCGGGGCAGGTGCCAGCATTCGGGCCCCCGATAGAGCGTCGATAGGCGGAAAGGTCCCCGTCCCATAAGACAGGAGCGATCCGCAGGCTGCGTGCTTCCGAAGGGACGGGAGGAGCGCAAGGGAGTCGGTTACCACGCCATTCATTATGCATCCGGCGCGCGGGCGGTCAGGTTTCCTGCGTGTTTACTGTGGGACGGCAGCGGCCGCAGGCTCGCCCCGGCTGCGGAATGCAAATGGGCTCCGGGGGAGTCTGTGTCCCTCACGCCCACATTCCACATCCCCGAGGTTCCTCATCCCCCGGAGGCAGCCTCTGCCTCTGCCTGAAACCTGGAGCTCCCCTCAGACACAAAGCACCTGCTCACCGGCCGACTGGATCTGTCCTATTTTACTCCGACTGGGCCCTGCTGGTCCTGCTGCCGCCCACATCCGGAAACAGGAAGCAGTTTGTTCTTAAAGGCAGGTGATGGCACGTGTAAGCTCCCAGAATACACTGAGTGCCTGATGATGATGATCTCTGAACGCATAATAATCTATGCAAATTGTCCCCTGCCAGGAGTTCCACCAGCAGGCAGGCTGCCAACCGCCCATGTCCCCTCCTCCTGGCCAGGCTGGCCGGACCCCACCCATTTATGAATTCGTGCACCGTGCTTATAAAAAAAAAATATATATATATATATATATATATATATATATATATATACACACACACACACACACACACACACACACATACACTCTGAGTGGCCAGATGATTATGTGTTCACAGATCATCATAACAGTCTGGCCACTCGGTGCATGTAACTCACAGAAAAAGGCTGTGTCACTACACGGGGACACAAAGGGTCCGACTCCTTGGAGCGCTGACTCATGTTTGCACACACAGGCATGTGTCATGTACAAACCCCATCCATCCCGTGTGCTTCTCCCCACCCTGTCGCTCAAAACCTGAAATGTCTTTTCCAAACTCCTGGGGCGAAACCCCACACAAATGACGACATAATTAGCGCAGACGGAGCCTCTGCCCTGTCTGTCTGCGGAACACCGCCCCCGTGTCCCCGGACGAGGCCTGTGCCCCTGCGTGTGCCGACCCCCACCCCCGCCCCCGCGCCCGCCCCCGCGCCCGCCCAGGCCCGGGTACCTCGCAGCGGCCGGCGCTCCTCTCGGCCGGCTTCAGGCCGTGGTACAGGCGGAGGAGGCACACCTTGGCTCTTCTCTGGGAGGGGAACCAGCTGCTCTTCACGAAATCCATGACCATCACATGGTGCTTCAGCTCAGTGCTGAAGGCCCGGATCTGGAAGGCGCGGCGGGCGGCGGCCCCGGGCGGGCGGGTCCCTGCAGGGACTCCAGGGCGCTGCATGACACGCGCGATCTTGTGACTCCGGCCCTCCGGCCCGGCGGACACAATCTGCTTTGTTCCTCGCGGGCGCTGAGCGCGGCAGGAGGGACCCGGGGCTCCCGGTCCCCATCCCCAGCTGCCCCGGGGGCAGTGTGTGCACAGGGCGCTCCGGGTGCCCTTCACGGGCTGTGGAGAGACGCCCGCTCCCACCTGCTGCCCTGGTCGCCGGGATTCTTCTCGGGTTTCAGGCGCATGGCTCCGGCTCCCTGCGCTCCCCTCCCGAAGGCACAGTCCGTGACCGTGACCGTGAGGCTCCGAGCGCCCCGGCCCGGGCCCCCCAACCCCGTGGGTGGTTACAGGAGCCGGGCCCAGGAGCCGCAGTGGCCGTGGCTGCCGCTTACCGCTCCGGCTCTGTCATGCCGGGGCCGGAGGGACCAGCCCAGCTCCGGCCACACAAAGGGTGACTCAGCCGGCAGATAAGAGGCCCGTTCACGTGACAGAGCACTTGGGTTCTGAGCGGCCTCAGAGGAGCAGACCGAGGGGAGCGTGCGCCACGGGGCAGGGGTGGCGGCTGGCCGACACAGCCCCCAGCCCCCCCGAGCCTCGGTCTCCCAACACCTGTCTTCCAGGGCGGTGGGGGTGCGGAGCGGATCGGGGACCTGAGGAAGGAGCCAGGGCAGCCGGTCATGTCTCCCCACGCCAGCCCCGTGCCCCGGGCTGCCCCTGACACATCCATGCCGTGGAGTGGACGTCCGCACGGCGCTGAGGGCGACTGGTCCTGACCCATGGCCATGTGGACATGCAGGTGGTGACAGACTCCTTCGAGTGGCCTTGCATGGCGTAGCGTGGCGTGGCGTGTTTGGTGCCATCTCCGTCGGCCCAGCACCACGCGAGGGGAAACCACTGGCCCGGGGTCAGGGGCCGGAGGAGGGAGTAACCAGACGCCCTGGCTGTCTCCAGCCCATAGACCGCCCCCCTCTACTAGCAGCTTCCTGATCTTCAGGCAAAGATGTTCACCCCCCACCCAATATTCCCCCCCCACAGAGATGCCCCCGGAATTACCCCTCCCACAGAGATGCCCCTGGAATTGCCCCTCCCACAGAGAGGCCCCCGGAATTGCCCCTCCCACAGAGAGGCCCCTGGAATTGCCCCTCCCACAGAGAGGCCCCCGGAATTGCCCCTCCCACAGAGAGGCCCCCGGAATTGCCCCTCCCACAGAGAGGCCCCCGTTATTTGTTTCCCTATCTGGCAGCCATGGGCAGGTGAATGGAGAAGTGATTGCAAATGACCGTCCTGAGGAGGTCGCTGCCCGCAGAGGAACCCACGCCCCACACACAGCGGGCACGGAGCGTGCGCCCCGGGGGAGGGCTGCCACAGATGAGACTCTGAGAAGCCTCCTGGGAGGAAGACACGGTGTCCGGCCGTTTGTCTGTTTGTTTGTTTGTTATTGATGTCAGAGAGGAAGAGGAGATAGAAACATCAATGATGAGAGAGAATCATCATCGACCCGCTGCCTCCTGCACACCCCTCCTGGGGATGGAGCCCACATCCTGGGCATGTGCGCTGACTGGGAATCGAACCGTGACCTCCTGGCTCAGAGGTCGATGCTCAGGCCCTGAGCCACGCCAGCAGCTTGGAGGGGGCGGGGGCATTTCGCCGTTTCCTTGTATCTCCATCCACTGTGCTCATGGGCGACTCCTCCGCCGAGATCATCACTCTGATGGATAGGTTGAAGCCCCGATTTTATTTTATCTTGTCCCGGCCGGCCTCCGTCCTATCAATCAAGTCACTCACTCCGCGGAAGCAGCCCGGCTCACAGGGCAGAGCCGGCTGCTCCCGCCGCAGGCAGCCGGCTCTCATCCATCTTGTGGCGGCCCCTTCCCCTGTCCTCCGGGATTACACGAGCATCCGCACGCGTTAAATTAGAGAAACAGACAGCCTCGTCGGAGGAGCCACGTCTACATAAAGCAGGGCCGCCGCGGCCTCGTAAGGCCCCGCAGACAAGACGGGGCTGCACGCGCGGTGCAGGGCCGCACCCCACCCGCAGCCGTCCTCCCCGCCAGCCCCGGGCACGGCAAGAGGGTTCGAGTTGGGTCACGCTGGAAACACAAAAGGACCTGGATTCTTTTTCCTTTTTTTTTTCTTTTTAAATAAACTGGTGTTGACGGATTTGCTGCAGTGACTCCCAAACCGATCCCGGGAATATTGATTGCTTACAAAGGTCGCTCCAAGTGCAAGTCCTTGCCATGTTTTCTTAAGCAGGTCCCAGCGGGCAGACAGCTGGTCTCTCAGAGGAGCGCGCCCTCCCTCACATGACCCCGCGGGTCACAGGTGATGGGGGAGGGGCAGAGGTTCCCCTGGAGCTCAGCCGTCTCGGGGTGGCTCGGTGGCCTGGGCAGAGGAGGCGTTCAGACAGACGGGGATCCAGTTGTTCCTGCTGGCCGCTGGCTTCTCGGATCCACCGTCGGGCTCCTGAGCCAGTGGCTCCTTGAGTCGTCAGGGTGGGTTTCTGTCACTCGCAACCCCAGGAATCCTAACACACGGCCCCTGTTAACCTTCACTGGGCGTGAGCTCCCGGCCTTCGCTGCGGGGCCCGCACTCACTCGCTCCACAGCAGAGCAGGAAGGAAAAGTTTGCTCTGAAATACACGTAAGAACCGATCGGCTGAAAGTGGAACAGAATGTTTGAAATCAGGATGATCTTGCAAATGTGGGCCATATGGGCCTTTAAAGCTCCTTTTAAGTGGAAAATTATATGCATTTTATTTTATTTTATATTTAATATATTTTATTGATTTTTCACAGAGAGGAAGAGAGAGGGACAGCGAGCTAGAAACATCTGTGAGAGAGAATCATCGATCAGCAGCCTCTTGCACACCCCATACTGGGGATTTGCCCGCAACCAAGGTACATGCCCTTGCCCAGAATCAAACCTGGGACCTTTCAATCCACAGGCCAATGCTCTATCCACTGAGCCAAACTGGTCCTGGCAAATTATATGCATTTTAACCAAGGCACAAGCAAGCGGAGCCTTGGAAATTCCCCTCCTGGGGCCTTGGAATGCCGGTGGTCTCAATCCAGCATCTAGAAGAGTTCAAGAAATCTGGAGAATGGCCTGTGTGCAAATTAAGTGAGTCCAGAGATGAAACATAATTTTGAAATACATTAGGGCAGGGAGATGGGGAAGAGGAGCCTAGCTAAAGAAACCAAGCTCTCCTTGTCTCAGGACCCCTTGCTTTTTATTAACACAAATTTTCCTAAGGCAAGGTGGAGATAAACACATCAAAGGGTAGGGTTAGGTGCAGAATCCATTGTCAGATTGTGGAATTGCCTTCAGCTGTCCAGGTGCTTGGCCAACAGGAGGCAATAACATGTAGATTGAGATGCCCTGAGCTGTCTGGCAGCAAATAATCAATTTATGCACCCCTTTCAGGTTTGGGGAAATGCCTTCAGCCATTCCCAACAGGCGATGACATATGTGACTCAGCCCTAGCTGAGTCTCCAAGTTCCATCTACCTTTTGGTGAAACTCTTGCAATTACAACGTGCGGGGACTGGCTTTCCGGCAGGCTCCGGCTTCTTCTCCGAAGATCACAGGCAGCGTGTCCCTGATGACCCCTGCTGTGGCCGCCCGGGGCAGCTGGCACGTTGGGAAGGAAGAAGAGAAGGCAGCAGAGCGAGGGAGGTGCTGAGAAAGGGGAGGGCGAGGGGCCGGGCCTTGTCCAGTGCCTGCTGGCCAGAGCGGCTGCTCACTGCCAGGTACGGACGTCTATTCCTAAGAGCAGGTGTCGTGGGAGCTATGAGCAGAGTGGAAACCTGGTCCTTGGATCCTCAGTGCAGTCAGGACACGCAGCCTGGCGAGGGCAGCATCCCTCTCCCAGGGTCTGTGCTTCCTGCTCCCTCTGCAGCCCAGCTTCCCTAGTCTCCCCACGGACAAGGCCCTGTCGTGGCTGCCCTCCGTGGCCACCTCAGGGGAGGGCACCTTCCCGCCCAGCCCTCATGGCTAGTTGACTCCGTCTCTCTTCCCCTGGTCTGGGAACATTTGAATGGCTTTCACCACATCCTCTTAGACACGTAGCTATTCATGTATTGGTGATGGCCATTCTCAAGACCAGAGAGTCCGAGCCATCCCGCCCACAGGCTGTTGTGTAGACGTGTCCTCCGTGGGGGGTGAGACCCCACGGAAAAACGTGGACTGCGCCCTCCTCTCCCCAGGGAACGAGGGAGCTGCCATGAGACGGAAGAGGGGTCATTACCCTTTGAAAGATGTCCTCCCTTGTGTCTGACTCAGAGGAGCCATTTTTCACGTAAAAGGCGAGCTAACGGGGAAATTACATTTCTGCTCTCTCATAATACAGATTAGAAAGATGAAGAAAAATCTGCCACACGCAATGGGAAAAGCCATTATTCAGACGAAGCGCGACCGGCAGGAGGCCAGCCAGCAAAGAGACAGACCCCAGGCCAGCGGTTCCCGGGCCTGGCACCCCGGCCTCCAAGTGCCCCCCGAGCTCCCTTGGGTCACAGGGGTGTCAGCGCTCCCACCGCCCCCGGCGGGCCCTGCGCGTCCCCGCAGACGGGCGCCCTCTGCTCAGGGCCCCACGCGGGTCTGTGAAAATGGGCCGTTGCTGTAAGTCGGCAGAAGCGTGTATTGAGTGACAATAATGAAAACAGCGCCGACGCCATAATTATTCAATTAGGGGGAAGAGAGATAAGCACCTTTATCTAGCACTTCAGAAAAGCACAGGCCGGAAATTCATCCCAGGATTAGGCAACTCAGATCCCTGCCCCCAACCCCAGCAGCGGCAGCCGCCCTGACTGCCACCCGGTCCGCACAAAGCCCCGTCTGTCTGTCCCCTGGGCACGGCACCCGGCCTCCAGCCCGGTCCCCGCCGCCCCGCCTTCTGCTGGGAAAACTCTCCGGGGACCGGCCTCAGCTCAAAGGGCCCCTTGTGCAGCGAGCAGCCTTCTCCGCCGCCTGCTCCGTCCGCCTGCAGCGGGCAGCCAGGCCGCGCAGACAGAGGCACAGGGCGCCCTGTCGCGGGAAACTACCTCTCAGGGACCGGGAGGTTTCAGAGGCTCTTGCCCGGGGCTCCAGGACTGCAGGTGTCTCAGTGGGACTGGGTCAAGCCTGCTCTGCCTAGACCACCCCACTCCCACCCTCACCTGGACTCCTACCCCCGAGATGCCGCACTGCATGGGGTGGGGGCCAGGCTGGCCTCTTGGCGAGGCCCAGCCAGGCACCGGCTCTGCCCACTGCTCTAGGGTTCTTTATTTATATAATGTATGTTATTGGTTTCAGAGAGGAAGGGAAAGGCAGAGAGAGAGAAACATCAACGATGAGAGAGTCATTGGTCAGCTGCCTCCTGCATGCCCCCTACTGCAGATGGAGCCCAC